AAAGATAAGAAAAGCATGTATAATTAGCGAAAAGTGAAACAATTTCATTATCAATAGTGTGAAATGACAAATGACTAATCAAACCATGTTGGGCGATGAAATGGGTAATTGAAGAAAGTGAAACCATTTCATGGTTTCTAAGAAAATTTTGTGTAATTAGTGAACAATGAAACAATTTCATCATCAAAATGAAACGGATCCATCTACCAATAACATGAAAAGGACAAAATCTGATCAGGATTACGTTGATTAGTGTAATGATGAAATTGTGAAACCATTTTGTTCATGTAATGTAATACAATTTTGTTTTTAATTTCTATTCAAAAGGATTCATTATGTAGAATTGATTATGGTGTGTTTTATTTATATTTTGAATATATTTTAATGATATAACATGATATGGTTGTCATTAATAAAACCACTACCAAAGTTATCATTTTACCCTTATAAGGATTATAAAATAAATTTTTATTTATTTATTTATTTTAATTTTCTAATATAATCTAAACTAATTTTGACCATTAATCAAAAAAATAGATGAATGAGATTGGTTTACATAGTTTACATGAGGGTTGTTTTTATTTGATTGCTCATATATATATATATATATATTAAATTTCATAGATAAAATTATAACAAAAATTCACATAATTGTTTATGTTCTTTTATTTTTTTATATAAATTTAAATTATTTAAATGTGATTTACAATTTAAAAACACAAAATAATAAATTACAAAACTTTTTTTGAAGTAAATAAATTATTAAACTTAATACAATATTGAATATTCAATATGTATAATAATAATAAAAATTAATATAATAATAATATATAAAATATAGAGGCTATCATTTCGACCTTCAAATATAAAAACCAAATTTGATGACCTCCATTTTAGCGTTATAGTGATTAGTGAAGTAAAAATGATTTTCATTTTTGTGATTTTATGTTATTTTTGGTTAACTAGTTACTAACTGATGTTTGATGAACAAATAATGTTTGGTAAACTAGCTGATAAGTTAGATAAAAAATGTAAAATGACCAAAAAATATGTCTTAAAAAATTACTTATTTGTAACATTTTATAATATACATTTAAAACAAATTCTTAATAACATAATATGTTAATAAATACAAACAAGATAGTAAAGAGAAATTAAATAATATAATATGTTGATTTTGCTTTTGTATTAATTATTATATATAATATACACACACACAGACACACACACATATATATATATATATATATATATATATATAATATAAACACCTCATATGATTAAAGTATTAAGATTAGTTTAACAAAATATTAATTTATCTTTGTTAATTTATAGTTTTATTATGAAAGTAAATATAATTTACTTATTAAATGACGCATTGCAAATAGATTTTCTATTCTAGAAACTTCTTTCAAGACCCTGATTTGACATTGTTAAATCATTTTGAAAGAAAAAAAGTAAAAAAAAATCAAAAAAAGTGGGTCATTGAACATTAAAAATGTAATTCAATTTCAACTACACGACAAAAAACATTTAAAAATAACCATTATTAACATTTTTATTTATTATATTTTATTAAACTCAATAATAATTTACATAATTAATTTCTAAAATTGAAAAAAATNATGTATAATGTATAATTAAAACTAATTAATAATTTCAATTAATATTAATTAATAATAGTCAGCATTTATTTAAACTAGTAATAATTAATTTTCATTAACATTTATTCAAAAAACACAACGGCATTTAGACTTTAAATAAAAAAGAGTAAACTACAAATCTGATCCCTATAGTTTATCGAAAATAACACTTTTTATCCCTACAGTTTTGAAATTAAAAGAGGGTCATTATAGTTTACAAAAACGTCAGAGTACTTGACTCCTTTCTCTAAAGACCGTTAACATTTCTGTTATACGAGGGGTATTTTTGTTATTTTATCGATTTCTTTGTCTTGAATTCGGATGTTATTGTACACTATAACGACTATCTTATAGTTTCAAATTTATAGTGACAAAAGGGGTTTACAAACCATAAGAATTGAATTTATAATTTACTCTAAAAAAACAAAACTACTAATTCTTATATTAATATTTATAAATTATAAAATTCTAATAATATATTTCAAAATTGTTACCGAACCTAACAATTGAACGAAAATACGCTCATTTTAATAACAATTTTCCTTTTATGAATCAATAATTACAAATTTTTGTATGATATAAACTTTTTATTTTATTTTATATTATAACTAGTGTTCGATTTAAGAAATAATGTAAAAGCTTCGACTTGAGTGGAAGTGCGATGTGTCTGAAAACTCGGGATCGTATTTATATTTATAATGCTCCGTCCAACACCGTAAATCACGATTTAGAGAATACTAATATCAGATGGAAGTACGTCATTAAGTCAACACTTTCATTCTATATATATATAAGTAATATAGTAAACACTTAAACTACATTTGTTACTATAAGTACTGCAGTAATCACAACTCTTGTTAAAAAAGAAAATATATCATTTACATTTGTTTTGCCACAAGTTTTCTACTAATTGGTTGATTTTGATTTCAACCATGGTTATAGATTTCAAAGCTTCATCATGCTTTTATACGTCTATCATCTTTCTACCATTGTGAGATGGTGAAAGTCAACTTTATTTCAGATTTGAAGAACACTCAAACCTCATATTGTTAAGTCATCATCATTGGTTTCACTTTTATATTTGAACCATAATTTTTTTCATTTGGTTGGTTTTGATTCCAACCATGGTTATAGATTTCAAAGAGGATCATTCGAAATAAGACAAAATCATAAGTCAACCCCCATGATTTAACACAAAGGTATCCGGATCCACTTTTTTTATGCACTTCACTTTATTCAAATATTTCAACTCTTCATCAATTTGGGACAACTAAAACTCAACTAATGTTTAACTATTATATTAAAATTTAACTATCACATGAAATGTTTTGTTATGTAAATAAAAAATAACTACTTAACTTAAAATTGGATCAAAATTTAGATATACATTCAAGATATATCTTATTTCTTATATAGTCACGTATACTTCAACTTTTCACTTTTGTCACCAACACGAGAAAATCAAGAAAATTCATCATTTGATAAATATTTTATTTTCATTGTGACATGTCTTGGTTTTATAGTTTTTCACTTTTGTTATCAATGTGAGATAATTAAGAATTCACCACAATTCACCGTTAGATAAATATTTGATTCTCATTGTGTATGTCATCATCTTAAAGTTTTCATTTACATATATATATATATATATAATATATAATATATAATATATATATATATATACATCTAATAAATAAGTAACTTTGGGGACACGTATCATGTCTCTGTGCGACGGTTATTGATTTTTCCCGTCCAAACATGTATCTAGACACAGTTTTCACTTACGGTTCATATAGGTCTACCTAAGTGACATGTGTCCCTCTACACGTTTATTTCCCTGTTTTCGTGGTATAACTGATTTCCCAGACTAATTAGAAATCTCTGGATTTCCATTTCTCAGACTTATAAGTCTGAACTTCTTTTCCTCAGTTAAAATTGTGAGTTGTCTTCCAGACTTGTAAGACATATCAGTATAAAAGTCTGAAAAAATCAGACTTATAAGTCTCAATTTAACTCTGAAATGGCCTCCAGACTTACAACATAACTCTGGGAAAATTCAGAGTTGTAAGTCTGAATTTAACTTTGAAGTGACCTCCAGACTTACAACATAACTTTGGGAAAATTTAGATTTGTAACTCTAAATTTAACTCTGAAGTGGTCATCAAAACCGGGTTTAAAATTTTAATTTTTGAAGCATTTTTTACAAATTAATATTACCCGAAAAAAAAATCCAAGCTGATGTGAAAACTCGACCCTAGCCAGGGGGCTCTGCCCCGTAGACCCCACCAGTAGCTGCCGCTTGGATCAAAATTTAGAAAAACATTCAAGCTATATTTTATCCTTTATATAGTCATTTGTACTTTCAACTTTTCGCTTTTATCACCAATGTGAGACAATAAATAATCCATCATAATTCACCATTTGATAAATATTTAATTCTCATTGTGTCATGTCATTATCTTAAGGTTTTTCACTTTTGTTATCAATGTGGGATAATCAAGAATTCCCCATTTGATAGATACTTGATTCTCATTGTAAATGTCATCATATTAAAGTTTTCCTTTATATATATATATATATATATATATATATATATATAGTTGGATTCACATGAGATCAAGAGTTTTTCGTGAGACCCGTAAGAATAATTTATGTTTATTGATCAACTTTATAAACTAATGATCTAATGGTCTAAAGTTGCACGATGTCAAATTTGCGATTATTGAGAAGTCTCGTGGCATTTATGAATGTTCAGATTGTAGATCTAATCTAAGGGTTGAGAATTGGTCTTATGAGTCTCACAAAAAACCCTTGATCTCACATGATCTCTAATATATATATATATATATATATATATATATATATATTGATTCCAGCTTTTCACTTTTTATTATTAACGTGGAACAATTTTTAAATTCACCACAATCCACCATTTAATAAAAACTTGATTCTCATTATGCCATGTCATCATCTTGATGTTTTAAAAACGAAATATTTAACTATTATATGAAATATTTTGTAATGTAAATAAAAAATAACTATTTAACCCAAAATTTAATCAAATTTAGATATACATTCAAGTCATATCTTATCATTTATATAGTCACTTGTAGTTTCACATCTTTTTCCTTTTGTTTCCAACATGGGACAATAAAAAATTCACCACAATTCCGTATTTGATAAATACTTGATTTTTATTGTGTCATGTCATCGAGGTTGGTTTTTCATTTAATTAATATATAGATAGATTCTATCTTTGTTATAACTATTAACTAATATTTGTTAATTAAAAATATATAACAAGATAGATTGAGTAGTATATAAGAGAAATGGAGGATTTAGGTTTTGATCAAACAAAAATGGGTGGGAATTCGAGGAATGCTTTGATAGCATTTGTGGCTCCTCTTCCTTCTATACTCTTCTACACCTCCTTCCTCCACCACTACGCCGACGACCTCCACCTCCTCTCTCCAATTTGGTCATGGTGCTACCACCACCCTCTGCTCCTGGCCAACGCCCTCTTCTTCTTCAACGTCAATGTCCTTTTCTGGATCATTAGTCTCATCCAATCCAGCAATTGGGTAGGGCGTTCTTCTCCCTTTAATGCTATTTCACTCATCTGTTCTTCTGTTTCTGAGAATTTGAATGTTTGTGGCTTTGTAGATGATAGATGTTTACTGGACGGTGATTCCGGTGTTGCTGGTGCATTACTTTCAGAGTCATCCTCTGTCGGAATTCAACCCACGGAGGTCAACGGTGGTGGTGGTGTTGACATGGGTTTGGGCAATCAGGTTGACCCACAACTATTTTCGCCGAGAAAAATGGCAGTGGGGTGCCAGAGAAGACTGGAGGTTCACCGATATGGCTCGACAATATGGCAAAAACTGGTGGTGGATTTCCTTCTTTGCTGTTTATCTCATCCAACAGGTGCGATTTCACTTTATTCATCGACGGATATTCGTTAATTTACGAACCCAAATTGGGTTCTATTGAAGTCGATTCATTAGAATTGGGTTGTTTCAATTGATCTTTAATGGGTTTCGTTTTTTCCACTCAGGGCTGCTAAGTATTGAATGCTAATGAAAACAACACTGCAACCACCCGTAAAGAAAAAATAATCAATTTTGCAGTTGATTCACTGATAAAGACAGAAAATGGAGCCATTTTGAACACCTTCAACAGATCTGTCGATCTAATAAAAACACAGAACAACTCCAAACTTTCCATCGGTATCCACGTGGGAAGACTTTGAACAACTTCTCTTTGCAAGTTCTTTTGGTTACATTCCAATAGCATCTCCAACGCCTATTAAAAATTGGAAAAATAGAAGAAATTAGGATTTTAAGCTTGTATTTTGCTCCAATACCTTCCAAAAACTCTCTCCAAAACGGAGAAAGCAGTAGAGAAGGAGTTTTTTTTTTCTCTCTAAACATGGATACGGCCTGTTTACCCAAATGCTTACCCGGTAAGTAAGTGTTTACCTATATGAGTCAATATTATATTTGGGGTTTTCTAACCCCACCCCTTCCTACACTCTTCCCCTTACATTTTCTATACCCCTCCTATATATTATTTTTCAGTTTTAACCTTTTGATATTTTCACTTTTGACCCTTCAACTTTTATAATATTTTGTTATTATATTTTTTATGTTTTTAATTTTTAATATAGATTATAATTATATAAATTAATTAACTTTATATTATTATTAATTAATAAAGTATTAATATT